CCGCCCGGCCAGCCCGGTCCATCGGTCGGTCGCGTGCACCCGTCAGGTCTGCTCGCGGGACCATGCCGTTCCTCGGGCAGGACTGGCGGTCCCCCGGGCAGAGCTGGGTGAAGACGGCCGACGGCTGGAAGCGCTTCCTGGATGAGAAGAGCGGCAGCTTCGTGAGCGACCTAAGCAGGTAAGTGGTTCCGCCGCCAACTTCCAGCCCCGCGAAGCAGGCCCGGGAGGGCGGCGGGGGCGCGAGCAGAGGGGGTGCGGAGCTGGCGGGCTTGGAATAGGCTGAGGAGGGAGCCCCTGGCTGGGGAGATGGGAGCGAGTGGCCCAGTTTCTGCAGAGGTCGCCAGAGCACGGGATTCGGAGGATTTGGTTTCTCTTTTTGTTCAAGGTCAGCGTCTCCAAGTGGGCGCGACCCCTTACAGAACCCCAGGTCCTTCTGAGAATCTGTCCACAAACGCGGAGCTTGTCCGCACACGCTCACGCTTAAGCACACACCTCGAAGGGTCCCCGGCCTTGAAGACACCAGAGTTGCGCAGTTTGCAAGTGTGGGGGCGCGGGCTCGTGGGCCGCGCGCCGTTCGCCGCCGGGGTGGCGGGGCTCGAAGCGCCCGAGGGCTGTGGGCACAGTCGCGTGACTGCCTTGGACGCAGGTTCCGCCGAAGCGCCGCCAGGCTCTTCCCACGCACAGAGTGGGCAGGCGACCACAGAGTGGGCAGAGAGGATGAGTAACCAGGAAGGGGCGGCCAGACGGTCCCTGGGGCACCGGCGCTTGCACGGCGGGTTTGTGGAGCGGTGGTCAGGCGTCAGGGCTGCCGCGCTGAGGGGGTCAGGGGGGAGGGGGGAAGAGGATGGAACCCTTGTCTCCTGCTTCTGCGAAGGCCAAGCATTTGCACCTGTTTCCTCTGTGACCCTTTAGGTCAGTTTTCTTTGCAAAAAGAGTGCAACCCCATTTTCAGCTGGTGTCTATCACCCGCAGAAAGTCCACCTGGCTCAGCTGAGCCCCTGGACTGGAGATTCCACCTGAGCTCTGTCAGTGGGGTAGAAAATCCGAGGTCCCCTGGGCTGGGTGTTCTGCTCAGTTAATAGCGCTGAAGCACGAACTAAAATCAGGCGGTCTGGAATCTGTCAGTCCAGGATCCCAACGGGTGACTTCCAGATCCCTGGCATTTGGCCCAGGTGAGGAGGGCAATGAAAATGGGTCCAGAGGGCGTCTGCGCGGCGGGGTCACCCTCGGTGCCTCTCTCCCACCACCTTTGGTTAAACACCTCCCCCCATCCCACCCCGTGTGCCCTCAAATTGACTTCAATAGAGAGTTCTGTGAGGCCAGGTTCCCACTTACTGAAACTTCCCAGTGGTGGTTTGGTTGAGCCCTTGGCACTCATTTTAAGAAAGCTATCAGGATAATATGGTTATTTGGACAGCCGTGGGGGTGGGGGGTGGACACACAATATTTAATCTTGGAAGCCTATAAGGAGAGACAACAGCAAATTGACCTTTATGTTAAAGATACTTTTAGGCAGTCTCTGCCACTGTTAAGAAAAGCAATTTTATTTATGGAAAAACCAGATAATTTACTTACAGAAAAATAAAAAGATTACCTGCTATCACCAGACTGTGTTTTGTCAATTATGCCCTTCCTTCCTTCTTCCTCGTTCCTAAGGATTATAACCTAATATTTGAGTAACTTTATTTCTGTATGACAGTTCGGATTCTTTCTAGGGAGGTGCAGCAGCGATCTGCTGAGCCGTGTTGCGGTGGCTCACCCAGTAATTTAGGGTGCTCTTCAGTGGAAAGCAGAAGACCCCTGGGTTCA